CTCTACAATAGTTCTCATATGAAGATCTTTATGAAGAGTTTGGTTAGAGATATAAGGCGGGACATTAGATAGTCGTCGGATTGATATATTTTGGAATGTTTGAATTCGATTAGTGTTGGATTTTTTGGCAGCACCCCACAGTTGGAGTCCATACGTCCAGATTGGTTTAAGTAGAGCTTTGTAGATTAATAGTATGGTGTTAAGGGTGGAACACTTATTTCTAATTAAGAGAGGTCTGAGCATGCGCATGCGATTATTTAAAGTTAGTCGTTTGGTTTGTAGGTGTTTATTCCATGTCATAAGAAAAATGGTTCTGAGTGGAGACGATTTGTCAGTCTATGATATTTTGTAGTTTAATACTACCTATATTATTTATTTTGCTATCAAAAAAAAAAAAAAAAATTAAAAATTAGGTACCCATAAAATAAGGTCCAGATTCATTATGCACACGACTCACTCAGGCTCTGTTACTGCTCAACTCGAACCCAATGGGTCATCATCAAATCATTTCGACAATATAATAGCTGGAGATGCGAATAAGCCATCACAATTGTTGCATATTCAGCATTTATATTATATGATATTACACCTATATACTGTTTATACTAACAATAATCATAAGTAYCATAAGCGAGTAGAAACATATTGTACGACATTACGATTTATACTGTTAACAATAAATGTCGATATAATACGTTTATGTTATTATTTAATATTTATATTAATAATATTTAAAAAATTGGCGACGAAGAAAATAATAATTTAATCGTAATCACTAGTGCATTACAAGTTTCAAGTATTATATTATTCATACAAAATACTAATACAAAATGGCAAGTTTTACAGTATCATTTAGTTATGATCAMGCGGAGGATTTGACACAGAGATAATTACAATGTAACRGGACTTTTGTGACACACTGTACTGACGACGGAAGTCAAACAAAATAATTTTGTCGTGCTGATTCGACCGCCCATCGCACATCTCTACCACGACGAAACCCGACCAATTAAACGACACCACGATCGCGAACCCGACAGCCGTTCAGCTATAAAAACGAAGCGAAATCCGATCGGAACTGTAGTGTAAGTCCATCAAATATTAACTCGCAAATATTGACCGGATCAACTTCGTCGTCGTTGAGGAACAGATTCCGAAATAACAGACATCGCAGTACCGCATATTAGGTACCAGACTCGATTCCGTCCGAAAAAACAACCACAGCAGCAAAGCCAAAATGTTTCTGTCGTACAGAGTCGTGCCCGTGTTCGTTTTCTCCATACTTTTGAACTTCATCTACGTGTACTCCAACCAACCTATTTTACCTGCACCATCTCCATCTGTTCAAATTGGAATAATTAAAAGTGACTTCTTGTCGTGTGACGAATGCATAGGATCGCGGTGCTACATGAAATTGAATGGACCGTGCATCTCCAACAACGACAAAACAAAGGACAAACCATCGACTTACTATTGTTTSTTGTGTACAATGGACAATAATAACAATCCTCTGTTCTACAGCGAAGATGAATGTAAAAAGGGATGCACGGATAACGAGATGACTTGCGCCTGCAACGAGCAGTGTTACTTGTGCGTCAAAAAAAATGACGACATCTCATCTTTCAAGTGCAACCTGCCCACCAAGATGGCGAACGATGAATGTAGGTTAGTCAATTATACTTGGACCAGTCAATGACACCGTGCCGCCATCGTCATGATATTATTTAATATTAATATTAATTAAATAATATTAAATTTTTTCAGCTATAATTTTTGTCCTCAGAAAAATTACCCCTCCTTCCCTCTTACCAATTCATAATATTTTTATAGTATGTGATATACCTATAAGGATTCGATCACCGACGCGATGGGTAAATTATTATTTTCACGGTTATACTTCACACAATATCCTCGCATAATAAGTAATTCCTCCGCAGCAATCCGTCATCCTGTTTACCACCATTATCGAGGTGCATAATATTAAATTATTATTATTCTGGTGCAGTGATGGCGTACACTATACGCGAAGACAACGAACGCCGTGAAACCACACGCCTTCGTGTCATAAGTAATATACATTTAATAAAATAAACGATTTTTAAACGTCTCTCCCTCCCGATTGGTAATACTATAATATATTGTATAATAGGTTTTCAATGGTTACCTGTTTCCCGAAAATTTAAAAAAAAAATACAAAAATTCTTTAAGTTTTTTGTTAGGCAATTTTGAATATTCCACATGTAATTATATAAATAAACTATTKTACCTTCATTGTTATAACTTTAATTATTATTATATAGTTAAGATTCAATGTTTGTAACATTATTTATTATACCTATTACCTATATAATCGGTGCATCTATCTAACCCAGCGTTTCCCAACCGGTGTGCGGCGAAATTTCACGACTATTAAAAAACGTTTATGTAAAATTTCGGTAATTGGTTAAAATAGTTTTAACGATTCTCTTTTTGGGGATATTGTTCACTATTTCTTATTGAATAATTTAAAATATTAGTCAGTTAGTCGTTAGTTGTCTGCTGTGATTGTAATGTATCTTGTTTTTACATTTTAATAAATTAAGAATTTAGGATAATTATAATAATATTTTTTTCCTAACTTACCATTTTAAACTGTTTGCCAGTAATATTAAACTGATATACAATTACTTTGGTATTAATAATTAATATGATGAAAGTCTAGTATAAAAAAAATATGTATACATATACAGACTGTCCAGTGAGGATTTATCCATTGCGTATCTCCCGAAATAATGGTAATATCGAAATTCAGGTTTTGTAATAAGACTCACGGGGATAAGAACTACAATTATTT